AGGGTGTTGGGTGCTCAGCGTTTGCTCTGCTGGGCCTCAGCTGTGCCTGCTCAAGAGCTCATCGGCAGTCATGGTATAAAGACATGGAATTGCTTAACTTTGCGTGGGATCACTTGTGTGTCCCACAGCAGGAAGAAACTGCTCTGGCTGCAGGTGCAGGAATCCCCAGGGGTTTGTGGGTTGTGCTGCAGGAGTGCAGCCACTGCCCTTCTGTTTTCTGATGTGGCAGAATTGTTTAAGGTAGAAAACAAACGTTTTGATTTTTAGTTTAAACTCCATGATTACAGGTGCCTGAAAGAAGATCCAGCAACAATGTCTTTGCTACAGAGGAGTTTGGATCCGGAGAAGACCCTGGGGCTGGTAGATGTGCTCTACACTGCTGTGTTTGATATACACAGGTGGAAGGAAGGAAGGTACGTCTCCTCTTGAGCCTCACACTCCACTTCCTTAGTTTAAACTAAGCTGTCATTGCTGAGTGAACTGTGCTGAGAGATTTGATGGTACCAGCTTGTCAGAAAGGAAAAATGGGAGTCCAGGTGAGAGTGAGACATTGGTAATCCCCATAGATACAGGAGGCTGCTTAAGACCAAACCAGCAGCTTTTCCAAGGGTACAAAAGTATTTGTTTCTCTCTTACAAAAATGCTTAATTTATATTAAATTAGGCTCCATTTAGGTCTTGAAACACAATTCTGATTTTCTTAAGGAATGGGAAGTAATGCAAATGCTAGCAATAATTTGCAGTTACCATAAGAAGTAGCTGATGAACTTGGCAGTCTTTGGTGCTGTTTCTTTCTCTGTTATCCAAATCCATATTTTCCCCCAAAGTACAAACTCAGTTATGTATTAGGTGGTTTGATATATGTGGTTCTCGTTGCTGCAGGGAGCAAGCTTTGCCTTGCATTCAGATCCAGTTACAGCGTGAAATCTCAGACTTTGGGAACCAGGTTGACTTGCCCTCGGGAAACGGAAGCAAATCTTCAGGGGGTCTCCAAAAGACATTCTCAAAACTGACCTCACGGTTTACAAAAAAAACTTCGTGCACCAGTACGAGCAGCACTGGCAGTTACTCCATCCCCAACACGCCTTCCAAAAACGTGTTCATAAGCTCCTGCTCTGAGGAGAAGGCGAAGGTGCCCCCGGCCGTGGACGCGCGGCTGCAGAGCATCCTGAGCATCGGGAGCTTCCCGCGGGCCGCGGAGCCGGGCACGGGCGGCCAGCTGGCCAACGGCTTCCTGGGGGACAGGAGGGACAGCTTCTTCAAGACAGATGATGGCAAGGATGACAAAGGCATGAATTTACCAACTGACCAAGAAATGCAGGACGTTATCGATTTCCTGTCTGGTTTCAACATGGGCAAATCCCAGCAGACCTCTCCGATGGTGAAACGAAGGAACTCTGTTGCCTCCTCTGCAGCAGCGGAACAGAAGTCGGGGGCGGTCCAGCAGCAGCCCCAGTCTGTGTCTCACCCTCCCCTGCATCCTTCTCAGCAAGGCTTGTCCCAGCAGCAGCAATCCCAGAAGCAGCAAATGCAGTATTACCAACACTTGCTTCAACCTATTGGACCACAGCAACGTGTACCTGCCAAATGGCTCAGTAATTCTTCACAGCAGCAAGCCCAGGCTGTTGGAACTGGATTGTCTCATATAAACCAGTGGAACAATCCTGGATTTTCAGATTTAAGCTCTGATTTGTACAGCTTGGGTCTTGTGAGCAGCTATATGGACAATATGATGTCAGAGATGTTAGGACAGAAACCACAAGGACCTAGGAACAACACATGGCCAAATCGTGACCAAACTGATGGAGTGTTTGGGATGTTGGGAGAAATCCTGCCTTTTGACCCTGCAGGTGTGTGCCTTTTCCTTTCTTATACTTTTTGTAAGAGTCCTTTTCCAAAGAATGCTGTGAAATATTGCTGGCAATAACTGTGTTTCCTCGTGCTGCCCCCAGATGTGGGGGTGCTGACCAGGGCAGGCAGGGATTTGTGTGTGTGCCAGTTTGCTTTGTTAACAGAAGTTAATCTTGAAGTGCAAGAAACTTTCATTAATGAGCAAGCATGAGAACTGATTCCTTATTTCTTGTCCCAGTTGTAGATGTTCCTCCTATTCTTAATTTATAAAATTGTTTCAAATCAAACTCTTGGGCTCAGGTATTTTCCCTCTCCCCAGAATGACTCTTCCTGCTCTTTACTAGTCTTGTAATATGGAGATAGTGATGCATCTTTCTCATATCCCCACATTTTCCCTCCATTACTCTGCAATTCCATGGGAATCATGCTGGTTCCTGTTCTGCAGCTGCTTCTGCATTGAAAAGCTTGGATGTCAAAGGATTGGAGACTAAAAAGCAAGTGCCATGAGGTTTGCCAGATGTGTTTGGACCACCAATAAATTGCAAATATGGATGGATTGTTGTCAAAGATGAAGTGAGATAAAATTTTAGTCATAAACAAATAGCTGAAGTCTAAGAAATCAGCTGTAGAATCTCAGAGGAGCTGAATGTTCAATGCCCTGTAGGGGCCATTCACTGAAGAGTTGGACTCCATGATCCTGTGGGTCCCTTCCAACCCAGAATATTCTGTGGTTCTGACTGTAGTACTCAGAACAACTTACACATCCCTTGCCTTGTAAATATAATCCCTGTTGGCCTGGAACACAGCTCCAGGAATGTGCAGTGTGCACTTAGGGGAGCTGCCTGGAGGGAGGCAGCAGGAGGACAGGAAACCCTTTATCAGAGCAGGATCCGGTTCCCGGGGCTCTGTCTGTCTTTGGAACGTGGAGGTGTCTCAAACCAGCTCCTCTGGCTCGTAATTCTTAAAGTTATTTTGTCAGTTTAGTTAATAAATCAGTGGAGTTTGTAAGGCAAAAATAGGCATCAGAGTTATGTTGTTGCTTAACACCTGTAAGTCTGAATTAGCATAATCTTACTTATGGTGTGGACTTAGGGATTATCACAACCTTTAAGTAAGGACAGAGTGATCTTTACTAAGCACTAAATCCATGTGTGTCTGTGTAGGGAAAAGACAGCAGGTATACAAAGAACTGGCATTTTCAGCATTTTGAATCCATTCTATTTCTGTAGTATTTTCCTTTCAGTCTCTATAAAACTGCTCAGTTTGGTCCACTGGATGAAGGTCAAGGACTTAGGAAGTGACACTCAGAAAAGGTGACTGAAGCTCATCAGTGGTGCTCAGTGCATTGCCCTTTTACACTTGTAGTGATAAGTAAACAGCATTTTCCACAGATCTGGAATTTAAAAAACCAAAACCAACCAAACAAAACCCCCCCCCTTCCAATTGAACAGACTTTTCCATTGGAAAGATAACTTTTCTTCATAGAACTTGCCAGGTTGAGCTGTGGTGTAGGAATTTTCAATCTAAGCTTTAGTTAGTGAAGTACAAAAAGCTTTAAAACACAAACCATTTTTTTCATTTCCAGGCTTTCCTAGGACTGCACATTTGTCATTTGAAAGAAATCACATTACTATTTTAATAAATATTTTTAGTGTCTGAAAATGTCTCTTTTCAGATGCAAATGTACTAATTAAGAATTTATAAAACTGATGGCTTTTCATGTCAAAGGCTTAACTAGCTACCAAAAATGTATTTTGCTGTACTTCTATCACTGTAAGGACTTGATGAAGGAATGTTGCAGTAAGAACTAGCAGAATTAGTGTTGAGAACTCCAAGTCTTTTGAAGTAAAAAACTCTCTGTTACAAAGCTGTTCACCTGACATGTTTTTAGTGAGACAAAAGGTAACACAGGTTTCTGTTTTGAATATACCAGTGATTTAGCACTTAATGCTACCCACAGGGAAAAAGCCTGGATGCCCTTCAGATCCCATCCAGACTCTGTCCTTGGATCTGAGGAGCTGTCTGGCTTCCAGCCTCATCTTAAGCTGATATAAAGATGTTCAAGGGGGAGAAGGAGCATTAGTGGGGATGTTTTGTTTCTGTCACAGCTCTGTCCCTTGCTTGGGTAGTAAAGGATGCAGAGAAACAAAATTACCTCCCTGTCATTTGCATCCCACGAAACGTTGTGGAGCTCTTTTCTGGACGTGTCAAATGAGAACAAGGAAACTTATCTTGTAAATGCAGAATTGAATGTAGGGAGCTGCCACAGGAAAGAGGTTTCTGCTTCCTGAGCTGTGCATGATTGTTGGATGTTCTTCAGTCCTCACTCTTAATCTCAGACTGAGCCTGGCAAGCAGCAGCTCTGCACTTCCCACTGCAATTCCTGTGTGTGTAGTCTAGACATCTTCCATAAATCCAGTCAGATTGCAAAGGCTTTTCTCAGGGAAGAAAAAACAAAAGGCAAAGAGAAACAGAAGCTGTGGAAACTCAATTACACTGAATCATAGCAGCATTCCTTCTAATCTAACTGCTTGCTCTGACCAGTGGAGCATTGAAACACTTCTGCATTAAGGCTTTTGCTGTGTCTGCTCAAGATCATGCTCGTCCTTTACCAGATGCTTGGGACACATAAATCACTTTAAGAATGGAAGAATTTTTAAATTACTGCTTTTTTCTGTAAATATGATTCTTACTCTGAAATATTTTGTGGATCAGGATCAATATGTTTTCCAAATTCTTTCATCCTTGTAGGAAGTAGGCAGTTTTGGGGCTCTGAAATTCTGATTTCCCCAGTAAGCAGGACCACATCTTAGCTGGTTGCACTCCTGCAGCAACTATAGTAATTGGAGTGTTCTTTTTTGCTGGGCGTGGATAAATGTACAGGCTTTAAATCTGCTGATGGATATTGGACCTGTCAGTGTGCACACATGTCACAGGACAGATCCTACTTCCCTGCTGGAATGCCAGGGTGTAGTTCCAAGTGTTAATTATTCCCCCCCATGGGTGCTGTGTATGTGCTCGTCTGTCAAGAGGAACCCACCGGTGGCTCCCCTTTGCCACCAGGGAGGGGATTTTGCTGTGGGGGGTGGTGAAGGCTGAAGGATGGAATTTGGGGTAAGTGCAGCAGCAGGAGCCGAACGTCAGCAGTGTTGGTTTGTCCCCCCAGTTGGCTCTGACCCCGAGTTCGCCCGCTACGTCGCCGGGGTGAACCAGGCCATGCAGCAGAAGCGGCAGGCGCAGCAGCTCCGCCGGCCCAGCACCAGCACCGCGCGCGGCAACTGGGCCCTGCCCGACGAGCCCCACAAAACATGGCCCTTCCCCGAGTACTTCGCAGAGGGGTAAGACACTGTGGCTCTGTCTGGCAGCCTGACTTGGCAGGATGGGGCAGTGCTGGATGTTTTTTCCAGCTGCACTTCGTTCTGTCAGGAGTGAGCAATGAGCCCCTCCTGCTTTGCAGGGGCACTGACAGGTTTGATGTCTCCTCTGGAGTGGTGTGGAGACTGACTGTGCCTCCAGAGGGAATAAGGCATCTACAGCACAGATGCATTCAGAGAGTTTTCTCTGAATATTCTGAAAACCTTTGAGACCCACTTTTGATGAAAAGTGATGCAGTGCCTGACTGAATTAAGTTTTCCAGATTTTAGCCACTTAATCTTGCTCCTAAAAGGCAGGTACCTTACAGCAAGTACATTAGTGGTTCTTAGTCTCTTCCAAATCATAACTATTTACAACAGAAGTGTTTCAAGATTCTCTGTCCCTTTGTCCACAGTGTAACAGCTGTGACTTGAGCTGGTGTGAAACCAGTAGGACAGTTGTGTTCTGGCTCAGTTTTGCAGTGAAAAAGTCAAGTGATTCCAAACCCAAGCATCACTTCTCCTTCCTGAACAGGAGAGGCACTTTTAATGGACATTATTGTTTTAGTAAAATATATATAAAGAAGCTGTAACAGACAAAGCAGTTAATGTGGCCACTGAGACAAGTGAAAGTATTTGTGTTACTGGCACATTTTCCCAAGTATTGAAATGTCTTTGTTTTCTGAGGTATCACCTGTGACAGGCTCAGCACAACTGGGACACATTCTGGACCAGGCACTGTAAATACAAGGACTAACACAACTTCTTGTGTTGCAGTGATGTGACAAATAGCTGGTCTGGAACTCAAGGAGACTCTGCCAGCTCAAGTGATGAGACCTCCTCAGCCAACGGAGACAGCCTGTTCTCCATGTTCTCAGGGCCAGACCTTGTTGCTGCTGTGAAGCAGAGGAGGTGAGCAGAATGAACAGAAATACAGAGCACTCTGTAAGATTCCTTTTTTATATCTACAATTTCATTTGAGCCTCCAGCCAAAGGAAATTCCTGCTGCTGAGACACAGTTACAGGGTCAGTGTGTGCTCTGCACGGGTGGGTTGGGTCAGTGCATTCCCAAAGGGAGGAGTGTTGGCAGCTCCCTCCTCCTACACACCAGCCCTGTGCAAACAGCTGAGACTCAGGACAGCAGGAAAGGTCAGATGCTTTCCCTCTTCCAAGAGGTTCTCTTTTGGATGCTGCTTCTTTCCAAACTCCTGGGGTGTTAGAGACCTGTGCTGAGCTGGTTTGCAGACTGTGCCTGGCAGCAGCTCTGCTGTGCCCCTGACACTGCACTGGGGTGGCACTGAGGGCCCCCTGGCACTGGGGAAGTGCTGCTATGTGGTGTAGACTTGTCTCACCTTGGCTGCCACTGCCCTTCTGGGAGTCCTAAATACACTGGTTAGTCCTTTATTTCTGACAATATGAAGAGGTGGCTTAATTGCCTTCATAAATAATTTCAGTAGCTTAAAAACTAAGCCAGGATTTCCAGCTCTGAACAATCCCCTTCCAGCAGCAGGAATTGCAGCAATTGCTTTCTGCAGTTCTGAAGGGCTGGAGGCTCGGTGTGTCTGGGACCTCAGTGATTCCATAGCTGAGGGCAGTTAGAACAACAGTAACAAAAGGCACAAGATGAAGCTGGAATACCAACCCAGTTCCAATCTGGGATCATTCTCTCAAACTGTTTCTCAGAGTCTTTTTGAAAAATAGAACAAGTTAGTTCTGTGGCCAAAAATTCTGGTTTTGTTTACATCATAAAATAATTCAGTCAGTACCTTTAGATACAAGATTGTCTGTCTGCTTTTTGGTGCCCAGAAGTTGTCAGTGGGTGCACTGCCAGTTTCCCCCAGGTTATACCTGGATTGCTGTTTTTATGTGCATTGTCAGAAAGGAACTGACCAAATGAGGAGCTGTTTTCTGAACCTTTACACTTACCAAGACTTTATAGAGAGGGAACAGGAACTGAGCTTCAATGGATGCTAAATTGAAGTTAATAGAAGAGAGCCACTGCATAAACATCACAGAAGAAGTAATTATTTGTATTTTTTTAAAAAAGCAGCAGGGAAAGAAAATACAATAGCACCTAAGGGGTGAATTAACCTGCCAAGCCAGCAGACAGCTAGAGATGGATCATGGAGTGACTCACGGAGCAAGAACAAGAAAAGCCTGTGCTTTATGTAGAGCTCTGAAGAGTAGAAGGAAGTTCCCAAGGAGGGTACTTCACTGAACAAAAACTTCAGCTGAACTAACAATACTACTGTCTTATGTTCCTTTGAGGAAGAAAAATATTCTCCAGTTGAGGGCCTGATAAAATACCAGAGCTAAACCTGGGCAGCAAGAGAAGGCAAAAGGGTTGGGTGTGCTAAAGCTGACCTGCAAAGGGCTGCTTACCCATGGAGGCCTGATGGTTGGAGCATGCTGCTTGGGTTTTTTTAAGGAAAGGATGAAATAAAAGATTCTGCTTTAATCTAATCCCACCCCCTAAAAAAAATCCAAAACACAAGACTAAAAAAATCTTTCAGAATGCCCACGTGGTCAAGGATTTCTATTTGATACCAGGCATTAGGTCACAAATTTAAACTGAAGGTGGCATGTTTTTCTTCAGTCAAGTAACTGTGCTTCAGCAGATGCTTCACTTGTTCAACTGTGCTTTTATCTTGTCTGTAAAGTTGTTTCAGAAAACATACTTTAAAAAGCCCAAAGAAACCCAAACCATGAGAGCAGGTGACAGAAAAGGCAATTTCTGGCAGATTTCTTCCAGGTGGGCAAAAGCCTAACCCAGCTCCCACTCACCTCTACACAGACCTTGCTGAAGCTGTAGCTCCAGGAAGTGCTGCAGTGCCATTCCCTGCCTGGGCTCAGTGATCAGGTTCTTTCTGTTGCTGCCTTTGCCTGTATGGAGCAAAAAGTACCTGAAACCCGCTGGAACAGCAGGACCCACTGTGGGGTGTGAGAGGCTGAGAGCAGGAATGGGCTGTGCCAGAGGCACAGTGTTGGGGTGAGTCATTGAAACCCAGCAGTGACTGTCCCTCTCTCTCTGGCAGAAAGCACAGCAGTGGTGAGCAGGAGCCCAGCACGCTGCCATCGCCTCCCCTCCTGTCTGCAGCTGACGACCGCAGCCAGGTGAGCTCACTGGACCTTGCTCCTCTGTGTGTGTGTGGGGGGGTCTGCACTAGGAAAACAACTGCAACAGCATCTGGATCTCCAGATCGGTTACTTCAGCAAAACCCCAAACCATCTGCACTCGAGGAGTACAAAAGTCACCAAATTTAAATATTAAAATTGGAAATTACTTACTTCTTTCCCTTTTGTTGGGGCCACTCTGTGTCATGCTGAAGTAAATTCAAAGGTTTTTTAACAGGCAGATGTGTTAAGAATCCAGAGTGCTTTCCAGGCATCCATTGTGCTTTCAAAGGTAAGTTATGACCCTGAGATGAGCTCAGTTGGTTAGAACATGGTGCTGGTAACACCAGGGTTGTGGTTTGATCCCTGTATGGGCCATTCACTGAAGAGCTGGCCTTGATGATCCTTGTGGTCACTGCTTGGATTTCACAGAATATTCCGGGTTGGAAGGGACCCACAAGTCTGTGAAATCTTCTGAAAATGTCTTAAGGAGGGGACAAGGTGATGTGTCAAGTATTGTCTCAAAACCAAAGTGTGTTGGTATCGAAGAAGCCGACCCCAGCTGGTTTTGTGTTCTCAGGACAGCAAGACCAAAACGTGGCCCCCGAAGGCGCCGTGGCAGCACTCGGTGACGGGCACCCTGCCCGGGCAGAGCTCGTCCCTGTACCCCCTGGGCAGCCCCGTGAGCCAGTGGAGCGACACGATGCAGCTCCTGCCATCGCCCCTGTGGGCCAACGACTGCGCCCCGGCCGCCGGCATCTCCTCCGGCTTCGCCTTCGCGCAGCAGCAGCAGCAGCAGCAATCCCAACAGGCTTCCCAGCACAAACAGATCAACAAGGGCTTCAAATCCTTCCCGGTGAAGCACGAGCGCAGACCATCGTACCTGCCCCAGTACTGACTGCTCTCCTGCAGAGCAGCACAGGGCCAGAGGGACGGCGCAGCTTCCGTGCCCGGGGTGTTGGCTGTGTCCTGGTGATCTCATTGGCAGGAGTTGGAGGGGTTTGGGGGAGACAGACAAACTCTCCAGTTGTGACTGACAGTGCTGAGCAAATGTGGCCAATATGTTTGTTGGTGGACATGAAACAGCCCAAAACTGTGATGTAGAAATGCTTTTAAAAATGTGTATATTGCCTTTACTTTCAAAACATTTTTTTTTCTAAAAAGAACTGCTGAAGGACTACCATACAAGAAACACTGTATTTTATAGCTATTTTTCATATAGATTTATAGTTAAACATCTTACTGAAACACATTGAATATGTTGGAGCAAATATATAGTGGTCACTTTGCTCAACACTGTTTGTGTTTAAATTTATAAAGGACAAGCTGTAGAGCCTTTGTATTCTCATTATGGCCCGGGGGCAGCTTTTTTTAAATGAAGTGCAGCCGCAGCTCTTGCTGTGCCACACAGATGAGTTCACTGGGGAGCTGCTGCAGGCCCAGCTGCAGACAGTGCTGTGGCAGGTCCCTCACCCCAGCTCAGCAGAGCCGCTGCCCTCGGGCGCAGTCGTTCCCGAGCTGCTGGAGCCGACGCTCCGGTGTGGCTGCCGGGACTCCGGGTCGGAACACCCTGTTCCTTGGGCAGCCTTTGGCCAGAGCTGCTCCCACACAGGGCTCCTGCAGTGTGTGAAAGCAAAGCCTAAGAGACTACTTGCTTTTATTTAAAGTCTTATTTCAGATGCTACAGTTGATTAAAAATTGTGAGCTGGCTCAGAAGATACTAAAACTGAAACGTGGGGTAGCAGTTAGTTAAAAGAACATTATTTTTTTTAAAAGGATAAAGTAATTATTTGCAGTCAATATGTGCCATTAAGTGAACCTGTGGAATTAGGAATAATCTTCCAACCAAAGTGGATCCGGGAGAGTGACTGGTGCTTAAAAATTGAAGAACAATGGTAAATATATGTATAGCTATCCCACTGTATATGAATTGAGATTACAGAAGATTCTTTATATAGTTAGAGCTTATTTAAATTTTCATATTTCATCTTTGAAAGAGTCTAAAAACCACAATATTTTCTGGTATAAGAGTTTTGACAGTATTAATCTTATTTTTGTATTTTTCTTAAGTCATATCATTCTAATATGTTAACTACTAGTAAAATGGGTTATTAGTTCTAACTACATAATTTTTCAATGAAGATAAAGCACATTTGTTGGTTTTGGTTTTACAAACTAATTACATCTATATCTAAAGATACCAAAAAATAAATACATTATATATATATATATATATAAAGTATACACAACACTAAAACTATTAAACATCTGGGTATTTCAAACCCATCCACCTTTTTTGTTTGTATGGTGACGGGCTCTATTTGCAGGCCCAGATTGTTACCTTTTGTGCTGTTTGAGGATGCCAATGTTGCCTGTATTTATGATATTGTCACCATGTTTTCTGAAACTTCATACTTACCATGTTTACAAAGATTTGTTTGCTGTACATAGACTTTTTACAGTAATGTGCTTTGCACAATCAGTGTGGCTTCTGTCTGTAAATTGTTAATGGTCTGTACTACTATAATTTTGAAAACCCTCCACTGAAAATGTTAGTGGTTATTTAACTTGATGAATGGTTTTGAGTTTCCTAAATCTTGTCGTTTAGATCTAATATTAAACCCTAAATTTGGTTGTACTTACTGATTATTCATACTAAGACCAAAATGGAAGTTAATGAAAACACTTAATTTTGAACTTTTTTCTAACAAGTGCCAAAATGATTGCTCTAGTTTTTGCAGTTTATTCATAATTACAAATGCTGTCGAGTTCCTGGACCTACATCAGTGAAAACAAAGAAAGTTTGTCTGCATTTTGACCACGTGGGTGCTACTCTGTCCTTTGCTTCCGATTGTTCTGAACACTGGTAATTTTAAGAATTGTTGCACTTGGCAAATGAGTCTTGCCCTTAAACTTCACTTACACTGCCAAGTGCAAGGGTTTGGTGCTTAGTTAACTTACCCTTATTGCAGTGCTTCTTGTGAATAGCTAATGCTTCTGAACTGGAACTGTACAGTTTGTATTTTAAAGCTTCTGTAAAAGTAAACTATTTGCTTTATTAAAGATATACATTTAATAGGTCATACCTGTTTAAAATATGCACCTTGCTGAAAATGAGCAGCACCTTAAACTGTAACTTTGGTTTGTAAACAAAGATCTTATTTCATTAACATGGGATTATTTAACAGTTTGAAAATTGTCAACTGCCTACTTACTGACTCATCATATAAAACCAAACTTTATGCACTGTACAATTTGAAGCATCTTTAAAGCTACTTTCTCAAGCAGGTGGCACTGGAGGAGCTGGCACAGACACTGCCTGAGCAGGGTCTCTGGCCCCGTAGTGCAGATGAACATTGCCAACTTCACCTGCGTTTTCAGCAGTCCCAGAGTAAATAACTGTGCTGGCAGTGAGCAACAGTGAACTGCATCCCCCTGCCCACAACTGTCAAGGCTCTTAGTTCAGCTGATGTTACGGTGGCACTGGAGTGCCACATCCAGGTGGGCAGGGCTGCTGTGCTCCTTGGGGGTGAGCACAAACAGGCAGCTGGACACAAGTGCTGACAGATCCCCAGGAGCCACGTGAACCCACCTGAATGCACAAGAATTCACTTGTTCAGTCTGCAGTACACGGCCTTCCCAGCACAGAGGAAAAGCCTTGACATGAGTGGGGCTCGCTGGAGTAAAGGCTGGGCTTGTCCCTTGCACTGAAGTGCAGCAATCCCCTCGTTCCCAGGAAAGTTAATATTTGTTTCACTGAATCACTGAGCTGCTCCTTTGTTAACATGTTGTATTAATTCACAATATACTACAGTTTACAAAGAACATCTTTATTCAGCACAATTCTGATACAGGACCCAAATGGCTCTGTATATGGCAACACATGCCTGCCTGTGTCATGCTGGAGGTAGCAGTCACCTGGTGAAGTGCTTACCCTGTTACTGCAGAACCTGAGTCATAAAACAGGCTCTGCGTCCAGCAGTGCTGTCTGGCTGTGCTCAAAGTACACTGCACTGAGTTTTTCAGAGGGAAAAAGGCACTGTGATAATTATTAATCACCCTTAAGCTGTGTTGATTACAGTAACAGAGGAAGAACTAGCCTAATACTACATGGAAAACTACAGTCACATTTTAAACACACAAGTACCAATCACTTTTTACCTGCCTTTCAAGACCACAAAGCTGGACTCCTAAACTGAGTATTTCTACAGAGTCTGAAAGCAGCACTGCTCTGTGCAGGTGTCAGTCAGTCTGCAGCCTTCTGTGTGCTGGGCGGTGTGGCATCTGCAATTGTGGCTAAATAAATGAGGTTTCTGTGCAGGATATGCTGGTACCTGTGAGAGAAGGAAACACAGTATCTGGGTAACCTGCTCCTTCATAGCCACCTACCCACACCTGTCACTTTAGCAATCTGATCAGGATTTGCTAACCGGTAAAGAAATAGCAAACTACAACAGTAAATCAGGGGAAACGTGTTCTTGTTCGGGGTGTGTGTCACACACGGGGCGCGCAGAGCCGCTGTCACAGGACACTGAGTGAACACCCTCACGGAGCCGGTGGGGTCGTTTCGTCGGGGGCAGCTTTGCTTTATACATCTGTGACAATGATTCTGATGCAGTCCCTTCATAAGGCCGGACGCATTTGCTTCGGGGTGCTAAAGCTCTGGGCCCGGGAGCCGCGTTCCCTCCCCTCCCCGGCCCTGCCCGCCCCGGTCACTCACTGCACGCAGTCGGTGGCGCGGCCCTTGCTCTGGTACTCCACGATGCACCGGATCAGCTGGTCGTTCTCCTCCAGCAGCTGCGGATAGAAGCGCGGTCACCGCCCGCCCCGCCGCGGCCGCGCCCGTCCCCCGACCGCCCAGTCCCGTCCAGCTGCTCCATCCGGCCACTCCCTTCACTCCCGGTTCCAATCTGGCCCGTCCCGTCAGCCCGTGCCGGCGCTCACCTCCTGCAGGGTGTCCTGGTTCACCTCAGCCTTCCCCCGCAGCCGCTCGGGCACGAACGCCACGGACATGGCGGCGCTCCGCCGCCTGAGGGCTCCCCGCGGCCCGCCCCGCTCCCATTGGCTGACAGTCGCGCAACGCGCGGCGGCCCCCCCGCCCCCGGAAGCGCCTGAGGCCCAGCCCGGGCCCAAACCGCCCTCCCGGCCCTCGGCACGACAAAGAACGCCCAGAGCGCTTCTATTGAACAGTTTATTCTGGTTTAAAATAAAAAAAACAGAAAGCCTGGCCGGGCGCGGCAGGGACACCCGGGGTTGGCCCCGGCCGCAGCTCCCGGCCCGGTATTTACAGCTGGAACACCTCAGACAGTAAAGAGTTATTGCAACAGGACAGCACTTGCCTCTACGGTCAAAAACCTCAACAGGTGTTCAGAATCATGACTTGTGGATCCCAAAAGGCAGTTGTTAACATGCAAAAAACATTACTAAACAATATTACCTAACTTCTACAGCTGTCAAATACTTGACCTTAATAAGGAAACCAATTACAAAATACTTCCTTGTAGTGCTATACAAAAGTTATAAAATTAAGATTCTATCAACCACTTTTAAATATTCCAATTTTTCAACAGTGCAGTTTTCCACATCTTTATCACCACTGAACATTTTTAAGTAAAAAAAAAAAAAAGAAAATCAGCAAATTAGATCAAAGTGATGTAATCTTTGGATCCCTTTATTCCTGTGGCCTTCATTTTTACATAGACAGACACAAATGACCAGGTTTCTATTTCAGCATATCAAAGTTGGAACTACTCATCCAGAATTGGCCAGAAGTCCATACTCTGTCATTTGTGACCTGGCAGTCTCACAACCAGAGTCTCACTGTCTCCAAGCTACGGTCTATCAAAATGCAAACAACTTCAAACACTAAGAATTCTTTAAATTGCTCATGTCTACAGGTATTACAACAAAGTTAACATTTCAAGAATTGACAAATGGAGACAGACTTTCTTCCCAGGCACTCCAGGAGAATCACCAACTCATGTGCCTGGCCCATTATTAAAAAAAGTTAATATTTCTCACTAAGTAAAATTAATTGCAAATCTTGACATATGAAAATTCCTTTTCTCCTTTTCTGAAAATATCTCCTTAACTTGGTCAAATCCTGTGATATGCCAGAAACTACAAAATCAAACTCTTGCAAGAGCAGTGAAGCGTGTATCCAGTTTCGTGTAATGGAAGAACATTTTCAAAACTTCATTATAGTCCAAATATAAAATCAAACATTTAAGCCTGAAAAGCTGCTAAAGAAAAAAAAAACCAACTACTTCAGTGTTCTTCAGCATATCAACTTCTGCAATAACACAGTATGTTTGCCGACTTAAAAATGTTTATTCTTTAAAAAATTAGTTGCTTTTTATACAGCTATACAAAGTTTGTAATGTTTCTTTGGCAATGGGATATAATGGAATTTTACAACTATATAAAAACTTTCCTTTGCCTAAGAAACAGTATTTACTGTGTGTACATATCTGACTGACAAAGCAAGTTTTC